ACCTTCCCTCTGAGAATCAACAGACTATTATTTGTATAATGTTCCAGCATAACATTCAGGAGCAATAGGCTTCAGTGTTAGCACAACCATCATCCGACCTCCTGAACTCTCCTCTGGTAACATCACAAGCTGACTTCATAGTGCCCGCTGCCATGGTAACCTGTGCCCCACCCCTCTCATGAAGGTTCCTGCACTGTCCAGGAGGGGCTAAGAGGCCTGGACTACAGAGTAGGCATGAGAACAAGGACAGGGATAGATGAGATAAACACTGGGTTGTCATGAATCCCCACCAGCACCTGCTTTTGCAGCCTGGATCACAGATAGGGCAAATCAATGTTTGTTAAGACACAAGCACTGGAAAAAATCAAAGCCGGACAAGTGCCACTCCCCACGTTTGGTTTCAGTCAACTCTTAGTCATTAAGATGCCACCAACAATGTGGATGGCATCAAGAATTTCAAGCCCTCCCCCAAATGAAAGAATTTTAAGGCCCAACTTAGCTCATCACTGCTGGCCCCTTACAATCAAACCCCAAACTCTCTTCTAGCTTTACCTGAGCACTGCCCTTCTCCCACCCCCTTCCAGCTAAAACCGCCCCTTCTCCCGCATTCAAGATTCCACAAGTCCCCAGACCCCAGGATGCTCTGTGCTCCCCCACAACAGAGGAAGCCTAATTTCATTCTGCTTGGTTGCTGTGTTCTCTAACTTGGTCTCCCTGGAGACAGAGAGGCTACCGAGCCACGGTGGCTTATGCATCTCTGGGATGCCCAGCTCAGGCCACTGCCCCTTGCCCCACAGTGGCCTCGAGATACACACACAATGCTCAAAGGCAGGCATGTAGTTGGTGGAAGGGGAGCAGGAAGATAAAACCAGGTTTCTCTTCTCTAAATGAGCTCTCGTCTCTATCACAGGAGTTTGATTAGTAAGAATATGCTCTGTGTGAAAAGCCACAAAGAGAAGTCTAGGAGCCCTGGACAGACACTCGTGTCCTCCCAAGGAGGACATGTGTCTCTCTGTATTGCCCATACCACCCTCCAGGTGTTAATGGGCCTGCCCCATATCTAAGGTAGAGCCTAAGAACTACTGAAAATGTTCTTTAAATAGAAGAAAGAAAAAAACTGAGGGAAAAGGGCCAAGCACATTTGAAACTGGCCACATTACCTTGAGGCTTTACAAACAGAAGGCTAGGTTTTCCATAGACAAACATGATTTCAGGCTGCCTCCTGGTGGGCATCTGTGAGAGTCACATCTTCAAGTCAGAGCAAATCTTCATTATGATGCTCAGAATCATCCACACACACGTTTCATCATAATAGGAGGTGACAACAGAGCAGTTACCGTGGACCAGGGCACTGCTTGGAGTGCACTGCTTGAATTACTATCATGATCCTCATCTTATAGGTGCAGAAAGGGAGGCACCGAGAGGTTAATTAACTTGTCTGATGTCACCACCATCAGAATCAGAAGTGGAGAAGCAGGTTGCAATGCAAGAATCTGACTCTAAGACCCACACTCTTTCTTTCTTTTTTTAAATTTTTATTTATTGATTTTAGACAGAGGAAGGGGGGGAGGGAAGGAGGAAGGGAAGCATCTATTTGTTGTTCCACTTATTTATAGACTCATTGGTTGCTTCTTGTATGTGCCCTGACCGGGGATCGAACCAATAACCTTGGTGTATCGGGACAACGCTCTAACCAACTGAGCTTCCCGGCGAGGGCCAAGACCCACACTCTTAATCACTGCTTTCCTATGTGGCTCTCCAACAAAGAAGGAAGTGTAAAAGTTTGATCTTAGTGCTCATGAATGAAAGCCATGACTCAGTACCAAGGCAGGGAACAAACCCCATCCTTGTCCCAGGAATGAGTCTGCAAATTTGGAGAGAAGTGCAAGTCTAACTCATTAGAGAAGTACCAACAAGCACTACTGTGAGCCAAGAAAACAATTTGTTTCCTCTTAAACTGGTGGTTTGGAAATGTTTGCTCAAGGCTGTTTTAGAGAGGCTGATGATGCTGGGTGGGGAAGGGTAGCCAGAGAACCCTGGGGATAGCCGTGGCAAGCAATTCTGCCTTGGTCCCACTGTGGGGGGTAGAGTGACTAAAACAGCCCAACGTGGTTGAACCTGGAGTCTTCATGCCATCATATGGCAGCCACGAGCCACGGGAGGCTATTTAAATTCAAGATCATCAAAATTAAATGCAATTAAAAGCTCAGTTCCTCAGTCATACTAGGCATATATGAGGTACTCACTAGCCACATGAGGCTGGTGGCTCCCATACTGGACAGCACTGAATGAGTGGCCTGGTGGCTCAGTACTGTATTCTCTCCCTTCACGTTTTGCTGTTCTGGGACACGTGTATAAGGAAGTTCTCAGAATTCAATCAGGGTTGAGTTTTGCTGAATGAGTAAGGCTGGCATAGAGCCTTGTCTTTCTACACAGCATCTGCCTCTCCTGTTTAAAAGAATTGTCAAGCACTCCAATGACAAGGGAAACAAACACAAGTGGGACTACATCGAACTAAAAAGCTTCTGCACATCCCTGGCCAGTGTGGCTCAGTTGGTTGGGTGTTGTCCCATGCACCAAAGGGTTGCCAGTTTGATTCCCAGTCAGGGCACATACCCAAGTTGTGGGCTCAATCACTGGTAGGGGGCAGGCAGGAGGCAGCCGATTGATGATTCTCATAATTTATGTGTGTGTGTCTCTCCCCCTTCCTCTCTCTGAAATTAATAAAAACATATTTTTTTAAAAAAAGATGTTCAACATCGCTAATTAGAGAAATGCAAATCAAAACCACAATGAGATACCACTTCACACCTGTTAAGACAGGAAATAAGTGTTGGAGAGGATGTGGAGAAAAGGGAACCCTGGTGCACTGTTGGTGGGATTGTGAGTTGGCACAACCATTATAAAAAACAATATGGAGCCCTAGCTGGTGTGGATCAGTGGTTAGAGCGTCGGCCTGCTGACTGAAGGGTCCTGGGTTCGATTCCAGCCAAGGGCACGTATCTCAGTTGCACACTCAATCCCTGGCCCTGGTTGGGTCACATGCAGGAGGCAACCAATCCATGTGTCTGTCTCACATCGATGTTTCTCTCTCTCTTTCTCTCTTTGTCTCTCTCTCTCTC